GTCTTCCGTAGCAGACTCTGGAATGCACCCAACTTGTTTGTATGTCTTCCTGAGTTGACTCTCACATTTGGCTTTCGATAGACCTTTATCAAATTATTTCTGCCTTCACAGCCTTAATTTTGCTTGACAGTGTGTATATACCCCATCTTTTAAAGCCATTCATCCACTGATGGGCACTTTGGTCATTTCCACATCTCAGCTATTAAATAGTGGGGCAATAAAAATGGGAGTGCAGACATCTCTTTAACATACCGATTTCAATTCCTTTGGCTATATACCCAGAAGTGGAATTGCTGGATCATATGGTAATTTCAATTTTTTTTAATTAAAAATTATTTAAATATTTAAAAATATTTTTAGTTTTTTGAGGTACCCCCATATGGTTTTCCAAAATGGCTATGCTAATTGACAATGCCACCAACAGTGTACAAGGGCTCCCTTCTCTCCACATCCTTGCTAATAAGGACTTCTCAAGAGGACTGTTAGGCCGGTAGTTATCATTTGTAAGGGTTCGGTTAAATGGGCTGTCAACTGGATATACAGCTTTAGACTCATGTAAGCGCTCACAAATTTATTTTATCTATTTTAATACATGCACATAGTAAACAGAAGCCAAAAATACTAAAAGGTATATAGTGAGAAAGAAGTCTCCCTCCTACCTGTCTCCCCACATTTGCACCAGCCTCTCGTGTTTCCTTCGGACACTGTCCCTTCCTTAATGCACCATACACACTGACACAGAAATGCATGTCGGAACAGAGAACTCTCCTGTACTTTGACGTGTTTGGTAAATGGTTCTAGGAAGAAAATAAATTTGGGACATACTATACTCTATCTTACAATGCATATTAGCAGAGTAAAAGCTCTGCATATTTTTCAGACTTATTTGAACACAGAACTCTTTTTGGGGGGCATGTTATTAAAGACTTTCTCTAGTATTGGCATTTTCTGACACTACACCTCGGTGCATGCTTATGTGGCGGGCTCATATTTGATAAGGCAGCCACTGTGTCTTCACTCCTGGTCACTCCTGGTCTGTTGTGACTGTTCCCCTACTTAGGTATCAACTCCATGGAAAGAGGGGCACAGAAACACAAAAACGTCTGTTCTGGATGTCTGGTTTCCAAACTACATGTTTAAGAGAACACAATGAGACAAAGATTTTGAGTCTCAAAAGTCAAAGCCCCAAGGAACTCATGCCAGGAAATTTATGGCAGAATTAGTAGATTTGGATGAATGTAAGAGAATGATTTTTCCTGCCCTAGAAGAGATTAAGAATCTCTGGGCCAGGTGTGGTGGCTCACGCCTGTAATCCTAGCTCTCTGAGAGGTCAAGGCAGGAGGATCTCTCAAGTTCAGGAGTTCGAAACCAGTCTGAGCAAGAGTGAGACCCTGTCTCTACTAAAAATAGAAAGAAATTAATTGGACAACTAAAATATAATAGCAAAAATTAGCTGGGCATGGTGGCATATGCCTGTAGTCCCAGCTACTCTGGAGGGAGGCAGAGGCAGAAGGATTGCTTGAGCCCAGGAGTTTGAGGTTGCTGTGAGCTGGGCTGACGCCACGGCACTCTCCCCTGGGCAACAGAGTGAGACTCTGTCTCAAAAAAAAAAAAAAAAGATTCTCTGAATGAGGGGGGAAAAAAGTCAGAAAAGAAGCTAGAGCACAGGCACTGTTGAGTGGGTCTGAGAGGGAGAATGAATTCATGACATAATCCCCAAATTAATTTGAAGATCTAAAACCAAAAGGACATGAGTTCAATTCCCTTTGGTAACTCCCAGAAAAAAAACAAACCTCAGTGAGAAGCCCCATGTCAGGGATAACATGAAGTGTGTTAGAACTGGGTTCTGCAACAAGGGATAGACATCCTATAATAAGGGATGTATACACTTAGAAATTTATTTCTCTTTCAAGTAAAAGTCCAGGTATGTTGTTCAGGGCTGGAAAGGTGCTCTGCACTGTTGAGAACCCCAACACCTCCATGCCACATGTGGCTTAAACTTCATAACCCTTGATGGCAGCTGGCTGGAGAGAGGGACAAAGAAAGAGCAAAGGGAACACACATGTTGTTTTCTAACTAAAGTTGATGGAAGGTCCTGCTATTTCCATCACATTCGCTTGACCAGAAGTTAAGGTTTGAATCTTGTTCCTCAAAATGACCTATTGAAGTCCTAGCCCCTGGTACCTGTAAATGTCACCTTATTTGGAAAGAGGGTCTTTGTAGATGCAATCAAGTTAAGATGAGGTCATTAGGTTGGCCCCTAATTCGATATGACTAATGTCTGTAAAGTTGGCGGCAGCAGAAAGAAGATGAGAGACAGAGAAATATGGGAAGCAATGTGGCTTTATTGAGAGCACCCTGGTGAGGTTCACGGGTCCCAAAGAAATGGGGCCAGAGAAGTCGTGCTGGTTTGAAAGGGGCGAGGGCTTTTATACTGTCTGAGGTGGGCTGGGACTTTTGGTGGGAAGAGCTGGGGATTTTCCACTGTGGCCTTTGTCTGTTCTTGAGGAATGGGAGGGGCTGGCGGTATCTGCAGATTCCAGGAGGAGAGGGTGGCAGTATCTGCAGACTCCAGGAACGAGAACTTTCGCATCCGGGTATGCTTATTCTCAGCGGGGCCTGGCAGTTGTTTTGGGCAGGTCTGGTCATGTGAGCCTTTTCTTTCTGATCTAGGGAGGAGAAGGGGGCCCACCACCAGCCTTACAATGTCCTTATAAGAAGAGGCAAAGAGACCCACAGGGAAAAGACCACCATGTGTCACTGGAGGCAGAGATTAGAGTGACGTATCTACAAGCCAAGGAACACCAAAGACTGCCGGCAAATACCAGGAGCTGGAACAGGCAAGGAAGGATTCTCCCCTACATGTTTCCGAGGGTGCGTGACCCTGCTGACACCCTGATTTGGGACTTCTAGCCTCCAGAGCTGTGAGACAATACATTTTTGTTATTTGACTCACTTGGTTCATGGCACTTTGGTAGAGCAGCCCTGGGAAGCTAATACACCTGGCCACACCTAGCTGCAAAAGAAACCAGGAAATATAGTTACTATTCTGGGCAGCTGTGTGAGGTTCTGTGATCATGGAGGAAGGGGAGAACAGAAAGGTGTGGAGGCAAGCGGCTTGAGGGTAGCTCACCCAGTCCCCACAAACTCAATACACTGACCTGGGGAGCAGACATGGCACTACGAATCAGTGGATCAAGATGGGCCTGTGGTCAGGGCAAAGAGGACAGTAGGGAGCTGTTAAGATTTTATAGTGGGACAATGACATGAGGAAAGCTGTGTTCTAAGAAGGATATCTGCCCCATTATGCCATCACAACACTTAGCACAGGGGGGAACCAGATCGTGAAGGACCCTGAATGGCAGGCCTAGAACCCATTAGAGAGTGGAAATTGCCTACAATGAGATGTCCCTCATTTCCTATCCAAGATGTTAACAGAAAAAAGCCAAACTATGTAAAATAATTTTAAAGAGATTTATTCTGAGCCAAATTTGAGGACCATGACCTGGAGCCTAGCCCAAGAAGCCTTGAGCAAGTGGACTCACTGTGACTGGGTTACAGTTTGGTTTTATACATTTCAGGGAGATAGGGGTACAGGTAAAGTCATAAATCAATATGTGGGAGGCATGGTTTGGCCCCAAAAGGTGGGTCATCTCTAAGCAGGGGGGCTTACAGGTTATAGGTGGGTTTAAATATTTGGCTTGTAATTGGTTAAACACATGAAGCTTTATCTAAAAGCTTGTAATATTTTAATATAGGAGATATTTATCAGAGACAAACCACCAGGACATATATTTGTTGTGTAAATTGAGGACCTGCAGGTTTGTCTTGCATACCCTTAGGCCTGTTAATGGGTTACAAAGGATGTCTCTAAGTAGGAGGCATGATGAGGCATGTCTGACCTCCCTCCTCCTGGCAGGCAATTTAATTTTGAGATATCCCCTTGGCCAAGGGGGGGGTGTCCATTCAGTCAGCCTGTGGTAGAGGGAGCCTTAAGATTTTAGTTTAGGCTGGGCACTGGGCGCCGTGGCTCATGCCTGTAATCCTAGCACTCTGGGAGGCCGAGGCAGGAGGATTGCTTCAGCTCAGGAGTTCCAGACCAGCCTGAGCAAGAGCGAGACCCTGTCTCTACTATAAATAGAAAGAAATTAGCCAAACAACTAAAAATAGAAAAACTGAGCCGGGAACGGTGGTGGCATGTGGCTAGGTAGTCCTAGCTATCCAGGAAGCTGAGGCAGGAGGATCCCTTGAGCCCAGGAGTTTGAGGTTGCTGTGGGGTAGGCTGATGCCACAGCACTCTAGCCTAGGCAACAGAGTGAGACTGTGTCTCAGAAAAACAAAAACAAAAAAGTTAAAAAAAGATTTTAGTTCACAAAGAGGACGGCAAGTCAAGGTCATGGCTAGAGGAAGGCCATCAGCAGACCCTTCTTTCCTCCTTCAGTCCATGTATTATGTAAATGTATTTATTTATAAAATTCCATGTATTATGACAAGATGGTCTCTGTGTATTGGTCCCTAGGTTGTTTATTTCTTCACTAAGGCTGAGACCTGTTAGCCCAAAAGCCTGATAGCACCAAATTCAAATTTTTACACATCCAATTATTTTAAAAATAGCCCAAAGGAGCAGATTTTTAGCCATTTGGAGCCTTCCTGCTTTGCATACCCTACAAAACCTCACCACACCATTGCTAGCAATAGATAAGATACAGCCTTGCAGCTATAAAACCCCAACCTGCTATAACCCTTTGGGGACTCCCTGCCCTGCTGCTGAGGGACATTTGAGCCCCCTTTCTAATGGACATGCTCCTCCAGGAGTTCCCTCACTCTCCTCCCCTTCTGGGTGAGGGTTCCTCACCTTATATCAGGGTGGAAAATCTTTTCATCTTGGAAGACCACATTAATTTAGCTGTAATCAAATAAGGCTGCATTTAAGAAACTTCAATTAGATATACTTAAAAGTGTATACTATTTTGTAAAAATCTAACTACTATGTGTAAAGTTGGTGGTGGCAGAAAGAAGGTGAGAGACAGAGAAATATGGGAAGCAACATGACTTTATTGAGCACTCCCGAGCGAGGTTCATGAGTCCCAAAGGAATGGGGCCAGAGAAGTTGCCCGTTTGAAAGGGGTGAGGGCTTATATATTGTTTGAGGTGGGCTGGGGTCTTTTGGGAAGAAGAGCTGGGGATTTTCCACTGTGACCTTTGGCAGTTATTGAGAAATAGGAGGGGCTGGTGGTATTTGCAGAATCCAGGTTGGCATCCAGGTGTGGTTATTCTTTAACTCAGTTGGGCCTAACAGTTATCTTTGTGGGTCTTGTAGGCTTCTCTCTCTCTCTTTTTTTTCCTAGGGAGGGGAAGGGGTGCCTGCCACCAGCCTTACATTCTGGCCTTTTGGTTATGATGGTCGCCGCTCTTTCTGACTACTTCCTGCTGAGAGGGGGCGTAGTTAGGGGTTACACAGCGGCTGGTGCAGGGATGACTGGTAGAGGGAAGTACGAATAAAGTGTTTGGTTTACTGCCATTCGAGACAGCTCTCGTAGGCGGCGCTGGAGGAACTGTAAAAGACAGGGAACAAAGAGAAAGATTAGGCAGATGATGACAATGGGTCCTATTAGTGGCAATAGCCAGGTAGCCAAAGGGGACTGTATCCAGCTCAAGGGGGATATATCCTGGCGGTGGCGGTTGTGTAGGTCTTCACTCAGGTTGGTGAGTTTGTCTATGTTCTGTTCTACAAGGCCAGATTCGTTGACATAGTAGCAGCATTCTTCACGAAGGAAGAGGCAGGTCCCTTCTTTTTCGGCCGTCAGCAGATCTAACGCTCTTCGATTTTGGAGAGTAACCTGAGCCAGTGACGTTAGTTGTCTTTGTAGTGAGGCCAGCGAGGCAGATGTGGTTTCTAACGCAATTTGTAGGTGATCTGCAAAATCTTGGGCAGAAATGACACCGTAGCCCAGGGTGCCTCCCTCGAACCCTGAAGCGAGGGAGGAGGCCAAGGTGAGACCTACCATGACTGGCAAAAAGATGGCTCGCCTCGGCCGGGGCCCTGGGAGAAGCCATCCGAATTCAGACTCACCATATAGAGTTAATTGAGGGACCACCATGACAGGGAAACAGGGACCCGGGGTGGATGTATTGACGCAGCGGGTGAGCGTCCCGTTGCACCAGAAGAACTGTCCCGGAGCAGAGGACGTGGTTGTGGTCACGGTATGGTTGGTAAGGCAGCGTCCATGGAGTTGTAGGTTGGGGTCCGTGCGGGAGGTGAGAAAGCACACGCGATCTGCATAGGGTTGGCCTGTAGGCTCAGGCTCCCAGAGGGGAATGCGGGTGAGCGGAGTGGAGCATGAGGGAGGCGATGAGGGAGTTGTTGGAGGGTTAGAATAGTTTAGAGGGACAGCAGCCAGCAGGGGTTGTTGGAGGGAGGCGCAAAGGAAACAGTGGGAAATATTAGGGATCATTTCGGAGGACTTTAGGAAGGCGAGGGTATGTTGAATAATATCTAGCCAGGAGGAAAGAGGAGAGGGTTGAGGGCGGGGAGGAAGCCGTCCAGCTAGAGTTTGTTCTGCCTGAAGAATATTGGTAGATATTTGAATCTGCCTCTCGTGGGCCAGGACATACTCACGACTGATATGAATAGTTGCTGAAGGGTAAGAGCTTAACTTAGTCCAGTATAATTTGCCTGTGACCCCAACTTCCCAGCGCTGGTCCCAAGGGTCAGGGATATCTAATTGAAATTTGCCTTTATCTAAATAGAAAGCGTTAGGCCTCCAACCAAACGTCTTTTCATTGTCACCCCGCCATCCCTTTCCTTTTTGAACCTCATGGAATTTGCATAGCCTTTTACGGCATCCTCCATATATCTCAGGCTGCTGCCGACAATAGTCAAAAGTTTGGTCATATAAAAAGCATAGAGCTGCCGTTTGGGCGCCAGTGACTGATGTCAGAGATAGGGGAATGGTAAGTGACGCTTGACAGCCCTTTGGAGAGCAGTCGGCAGAGCCGGCCAGACGGGTGTCTCCCGAGGGCAGGGACTCGCGGACCTTAAATCTCCAGACATAAATTGAATCGGGAGCAGCTGTTGGAAGGGTCAGGAGATAAAGAAGCCCATGTAAGACGGAGTTTAATAGGACCCACCTGGTGGCAGGAGTAGGACGGGAAAGCATCTTGAGGTGGGGACCTCTTGATGCGCGAGATGTGATGCCAGGAACCTGCAGGGTCATTTAGAAGTTTACAGCCGAGGTTGTTGTTAGCACGACTGTATGGGGCCCTGTCTGTCCACCGAGGCTCAAGGGGCTTTGGGTGAGGAGTTTTAAGGAGCACCGAGTCACCAGGCTGGACACTTGCGTGAGGGGTATCGGAGCCGGTCTCAGGCGCCTGAGGCAGATATCTGTCTGCGTGAGCCCGGGAGAGCCGTCTGAGGAGAGAAAGGAAAGGGAGGTAGGACGGGAGTGGTGGAGGCTGGGCGGGAAGATGGTCATTAATGAGGAAAGGGTGGCCCTACGTGAGCTCAAACGGGCTGAGGAAAGTAGGGCGGTGGGGAGCCGCTGTAATGCCGGCGAGAGCCATGGGGAGAAGGTCAGACCAGGACTGGTGGGTTTCGCGAGAAAGCTTGGTGAAATGTTCTTTAATCAGCCTATTTGCCCGCTTGACCTTTCCTGATGACTGTAGCCTGTAAGGAATGTGAAGTTTCTCTTGTGTATCAAGTGCCTCGCAGACGTGGCGAACAACTTTGGAAATGAAAGCTGGGCCGTTGTCAGACTGAATAGAGGAGGGGAGGCCAAAGCGAGGAATAATTTCTGTGATGAGAGTGGAGGCTACAACGCCAGCAGTCTCGTTGGCAGTGGGAAAGGCTTCAACCCAACCTGTGAAGGCATCTACCAGCGTTAGAAGATATTTGAAGTGTCTATGGGGCGGCACATGGGTGAAATCGACCTGCCAGTCTTGCCCAGGGAGATGACCACGCATCTGGTGGGTGGACATGGGGGGTTTGAGGCCTCCCTGGGGATTGACAGAAACACAGATGTCACAGCCTGCACAGACAGTTTTGATGAGGGAGTTTAGTGAAGGGTGTGAAAATACAGGCTGTAAGAAACGAGAGCGACCTTTAGCGCCAGTATGGAGAGAGGAGTGCACCTGACCCACGAGTTCTAAAGCTTGTGCTTTGGGGAGGGCTGCAACCAAGGCTTGGGCTTGCAGGTGTGCCTTCTGGCAGATATGGGCCTCCTTTGGGGGCCTCTGCCTGTTCATTTCAGGAATTAAAGATTTTAAATGCCATGTTCACCAGGTTTTGGAAAGGGATCTGAGGGCCTTCTTCTGCCCTTTTTAGTTTTCTTTGGATATCAGGAGACAACTGGGTACTAAAGTGGGTTGTAAGGACGGTGGCCCCTGCCAGGGAAGTAGGGTTCAAGCGGGTATATTGGATGAGAGCATCCATAAGGCGGCTGAGGAAGGCCACGGGATTTTCATCTGGCTTCTGAGTGATTTCTCTGAGCTTGTCATAATTTACTGCCTGGTGGGTGGCCGCCTGAAGCCCAGCGAGAACGCACTGTTTTCTGCAGTCTCTGCAATTTCTTCCATCTCGCCTGGCCAGGGTATCAGGTTGATATTCCCACCCTGGCTCTCTGCGAAGAACGGCCTCGGCCCCCACCGGCATAGTGCGGTCTGTAAGGTGAACTTGGTCAGCATGTCCCTGAGCCGCAGCCCAGACACGCTCCTTTTCATCAGTGGTAAGGGTAGAAGACAGAAAAAAATGTCGGCCAGGTGTGCTGGCTCACGCCTGTAATTAGCACTCTGGGAGGCCGAGGCGGGCGGATTGCTCAAGGTCAGGAGTTCGAAACCAGCCTGAGCAAGAGCGAGACCCCCGTCTCTACTATAAATAGAAACAAATTAATTGACCAACTAATATATATAGAAAAAATTAGCCGGGCATGGTGGCACATGCCTGTAGTCCCAGCTACTCGGGAGGCTGAAGCAGGAGGATTGCTTGAGCCCAGGAGTTTGAGGTTGCTGTGAGCTAGGCTGATGCCATGGCACTCACTCTAGCCTGGGCAACAAAGCAAGACTCTGTCTCAAAAAAAAGAAAAAAGAAAGAAACAAAAGAAAAACAAAAATGTCATGCCAGGTCAAACCATATGCTTGTGTAAGATAGCAGAACTCTGATGTAGGCCGTGGGGTCGTTAGAAAAGGACCCTAAATGCTTCTCAATCTGAGAGAGACCAGAAAGGGAGAAGGGAACATGTACACGCACAACCCTTTTGGCACCAGCCACCTCTCACAGGGGACAGAGAAGGGTTTGGTCTGAGGGTCTTGGGTGGGATTGGGTGTGATGACTGCCAAGGGACGTTGGCAGGGAGCCATTGCGAGTGGCAGCAGAGGACACTGGGCATTAGGAAGAAAAGAAGGAGGGCCCACATATGGTGGAGGTCAAGCAGGGGGTGAGGTAAGGGAGCCAGGTGGGTCAGAGAAGGCGGAAGAGGTTTCTAATGGGTCCCTCGGCTGAGAGGTGGAAGAGGCCAAGGACAGCAGAGGACGCCGCGCAAGGAGGATTTGTGACGGGTCACAGGTCTGACAGAGGGAAGGACAGGAGTGCAGGTAGAAGAAAACCTGGACATACTGGATCTCCCCCCATTTGCCATTTCGGTGACAAAAATTATTGAGATCTCGTAAGATGTTGAAATTGAAAGTCCCATTTTCAGGCCACCGTGAGTCGTTGTCTAATTTGTACATCGGCCAGGCGGTGTTACAATAGAAAATGAGTCACTTGGGCCGAATGTCAGGCTTGAGGCCTAGGGCTGCAAGATTGGCTAAGAGGCAGCCCAGAGGTGAAGACTTGACTTTGGAGGGTTGACTGCCCATGGTGTCCTAGTCCAAAGGAGAAAGGACGAGATCAGGGAGCCAGCGTCCCAGGTCAGCGATCAGCCTTGGAGAGAAGGCTCTGAGCCTTGGGAAGAAGGCAACAAGAATACAGGGGACATCTCCACTGGTATCTTGTACCTGGTTGGAAGGACTGACTGAACGGTCCAGGCAAACCTAAGACACTCAGGTCCCTAAGGCGGAGGGGCTCTGACTTGGGCCCAGGGTTTTATGGACAGAGACCCTGGAATGGACTCATTGGGCTAGGACCCCAAGGGAAGAGGGACTTACCCAGGTCAATTAGCCAACTGGCATCCGGTGGAGGTCCCGGTCCGAGGTCAGGAAGACACGAGAGGGGACGGCGCGACCAAGGCCCTGAGGCAGGCCGGCGCTGCCAAGACTCCCCTCCCGGGTTTCAGCACCAAATGTAAAGTTGGTGGCGAGAGAAAGAAGGTGAGAAACAGAGAAAAATGGGAAGCAACATGGCTTTGTTGAGTGCTCCTGGGAGAGGTTCACAGGTCCCAAAGAAATGGGGCCAGAGAAGTTGCCCATTTGAAAGGGGTGAGGGCTTTTATATTGTTTAAGGTGGGCCAGAGACTTTGGGGAGGAAGAGCTGGGGATTTTCCACTATGACCTTTGGCAGTTATTGAGAAATAAGAGGGGCCGGTGGTATTTGCGGAATCCAGGAACTGAAACTTTCTTATCCAGGTGGGCACCCCGGTGTGGTTATTCTTTAACTCAGCTAGGCCTCACAGTTATCTTTGTGGGTCTTGTGGGCTTCTCTTTTTTTTTTCCTAGGGAGGGGAGGGGGTACCTGCCACCAGCCTTACGCTATGTACTTAATAATTTCAAAAAATGGAAACTATTTGTTAATTGTAAAGTCAATTAACCCTTTAATGACTTGGTTGTGCCTACTTTTTGTTGGAAAGCATTTCAATATTTGGTTGCAGCATGGAGGTTCACCCTGTCAGTTGATCCTCTAGATGGGTATCAGTCATTTGGGACTTAAGGGCCTCTTGATTTGGGTTAGGTAGGAGAATGTAAATTTGCAGCAATAAGTGGTTGAAAAGCAAAAGCATTAGGGCCGATGAACCACTTTCAAACTCTGCCCTGTTCTTCCTGAGGGAAACCTTGAAGCCAAATTGGAAGGGGAAGAGAACTGACAGGGAGGAGGGAATGGAATGACACCAAGCAGGGACCTGGAAAGACAGCCCCAAGGCCTCAGCCCTGAGCACTGGGAAGGAGCAGGTTTTGGAAATGGTCATACACCTCCCCACCCCCCCAATACCAGTGAGCAGAAGCCTGAAGCCTGCTTGTGGGAACGTCCCGCCTGGCCTCTGTGGCTCTCCAGACCCACATTTCTCACTGCCTGCTTGCCATCTCCAGCAAGACAAAATGGAGACTCACAGGCTGGCATTCAGGCTCCCCACAGCTCAGTTCTAGCCAATGCTGCCCCTCCTGCCAAGTACGCAGCAGTTGGTTGAGTAGACTTCTGTTTGAAGGGGTGGCATTTCCCTCCCTCACCTCCCCAGTCAGGAAAAGCTCTTCCTCCCCTTAACTCTGTGAACTAAAATAAAACCTTAAGCACCCCCTACCCCACCGCTTAAACCCCTCTTAGCCAAGGGGATACCCTAAAATTGAGTAACTGACCATGGGACCCGAGGTCAGACATTCCTCATCAAGTCCCCCTCCCTTCTTGAAGATATCCCTTGTCACTCACTAACAGGCCTAAGGCTGTGCATGTCAAACCTGCAGGTCCTCTATTTACACAACAAATCACTGAACCTGGAAGTCCCAGTGGCTTGTCTCTGATTAACAAACTTCCTTATCTTAACTTAAAACACTCCAAGCCTTTAAGACAAAGCTTCATTTCTTTAACCAATTACAAACCCACCTATAACCTGTAACACACACACCCCTTGATACTGGCCCACCTTTTGGGGGCCAAACCAATACACATCTTCCATGTATTGATTTATGTGTGACTCCTGTCTCCCTGAAATGGATAAAACCAAACTGTAACCCAACCACCACGAGTCTTTTTGCTCAAGGCTTCTTGGGCATGGCTCCGGGCCATGGTCCTCAAATTTGGCTCTGAATAAACCTCTTTAAATTATCTTACAGTGTTTGGCTTCTTTTCCTTGACACCTCCCATCGCTGCCTGAACCCCACTCAGCCTTTCCCGGCGGAATCTAAAGCCAGCGACCAGATCCCTCCGGAAGCCGCCTCTGCCAGCGCCCGCTCCACTTCCACCCCCCAGCGGCCGCCGCTCCTCAAGTAGAGGGTGGTGCCAGCATCGAGGGAATTCAGGTGGAGGAGCAGGTGGGGCAGGGGAGAGACGCATTTTTGAAGACCTTAATAGGAGCTGTCTTGGGACACCCGGGAGGAGAAGAAGCTGCGTTTCTCTGACTCCAGCTCTTACTTGTCACCCTTGTCACTGTTCTTCTCAGCCCCTGGCCAGAGGCTCCTAAAGTCCTGCTAAGCTCGCAGCCAACGCTTTGAAACCTGCCTGGCTACTGTGACGTCACGAAATCCCGCTATCTCATTGGTGGCTATTTCCTCGGCCCCGTGTGTGGGAAGGAGGGGAAGCTGCGGTCCCGGGAGGCCAGGAGGAGGTTTCCCTGACAACTGCAATCTGGCTGCGCCCCAGCGGCCCACGTGGGTCTCCCCGGGCTGCTAGAGGAGAAGGGATCCCCCAGGGCAGAGGCGGTTACACCCACAGAGCCGGAAAACCGGAGATGCGGATGCCCTCAGCTCGGGACTCAAGAGGCGAGGCCAGCGCAGAAGGGAGGCGCGGCCACTCCTTCAAGGCCGGTGGCCTCCGGGGTTGGTTTAATCCTCAAAGGGAGGACTTAGTCTCTTCCCGCTCTGGGCATCAATTTTGAGAAGGGACTGTCCGTGATGATCTGCAAGCAGCTTCAGAATCAGAGGTTCTTTTCTTTTCTTCTTCTTTTTTTTTTAGACAGAGTCTCTGTTGCCTGGGCTAGAGTGCCATGGCATCAGCCTAGCTCACAGCAACCTCTAACTCCTGTGCTCAAGTGATCCTCCTGCTTCAGCCTCCCGAGTAGCTGGGACTACAGGCATGTGCCACCATGCCCGCTAATTTTTTGCATATATATTTTTAGTTGGCCAATTAATTTCTATTTTTTTAGTAGAGACGGAGTCTCGCTCTTGCTCAGGCTGGTTTCGAACTCCGGAGCTCAAATGATCCTCCCTCCTGGGCCTCTCAGAGTGCTAGGATTACAGGCGTGAGCCACCGTGCCTGGCCCAGAATCAGAGGTTCTTAACTCTGGAGCCTGGGGTCTAGATATGCTTTTGCCGCTGGCCTGTTTCCTCACCTGTAAAATAGAGATCTGGGAACTTGGAACTGTGAAATTAAATAATACAAACTTAAAATACTTCGAACTTAAATACGTCGAGATTTTAAATTATCCTGAGCCTTGAGAGTAATGGGGCTATGAAACCTGAGTCATGTGGCATGGAGCTGCATCGTCTGTCTTTTTCCGTGTAAATAATAAAGAAGACCAAAGGAGCCAGAGATCAGACCTACCCTCTGGTCACTAAGCCCTCCTATGGAGTAATAAGTAATCTTCCTTGGAATGCAGCCATCTGTAACCAATCAAATTGCTGTGGCCCACGCACCTAGTCTTGTATGGAAACTGTAATCCTGCTAGAACTTCCCCATTTCTGCCTATGTCACTGAAACCTTAACTTCTCTACTTTGGAAACGCTGACAGCATTCGTGTGGAGCTGGTGCTTTCCCGGTGGCCATCCTCAAGCTTTGCACTCGAATAAGCTCTATACTTAATCATATTTTCTGAACCTCATTATTTAAGGTTGACAGATGCAGAGGGGGAGTGCAGTGGAGGGGCATAGAGCCCCTAGAGGCCTGTGATTCCCAGTCTGGGGTCTTTCCACTGTCAGGTGTCTTTCAACGGTTCAAGATAAAGTGACACGCCCCAGCTCCCATAGTTGGGAAATGGCTGAATCAGCATACAGGTCATTTCCTGAGCTTCTAACCAGCAAGACACCAGAAAGATCTTTCAGAGCCTCAGTTTCCTCATTTGTAGAAAGAGGACGATGACCTCCTCTTCAGTGGGGTGTCCCTAGAATTATGTAAAACCACTACAAAAGGTGCCAAACACCTGGCACTTAACAAATGGTCATTATAATGTCTTTATTTAGTTTTTAATAAAGAAAATGAATTCTTATTAAATTTATATTCTGTGTTGGGTCCTCGTGCCTATTCTTCTGTGAATTCCTTCTTCCTTAGGCTAGTCTGGGTCCCTTAGTCTTCCTCTCCCCACCCCACACCCTACTTCTGTAATTCTCAGGCACTCAATTTGATTCTCTGTCATCCTGGTCACTTCACCATCCCCTCCAGTGAGGTCTATGCCCCAACCTTCTTTCAAAAGGGACCCTATTGCGTAGGTTCCTCCTGTCCTTACTATTCCCAAATACAAGGCCACAGAACATTGCCGTAATTAAAGATTTTACTGTTTTTACTATGAGAACACAATTGAGTGCAAGAAAAAACCAGGGGCAATTATGGAGCTTAAGGAAATAATACCAATTCCTCTGCTGGGCACTTAAATATTGGCATCCTTCTGGGCACTGGCCTAAGCTGCCTTAGGTCTAAGATGTCACCTCAGTGCCATCTCTGCAGATAGTTCCCAAATCTCTGTTGCCAGCTCACATCTCTCTTGACCTGTGGACTCAGCTATCTATCGTGCAGCTCATCCTTCCATTCAAGATCATTGATCTCTCCACTTGTCTGAGTAGATCTCAGAAGGGATGAACCCATGAGAGATAAGCCTCCACTTGTGATCTAACAGCCTGGAGTGGGGGTGCACCAGATTGTCAATCTGGCTGGCAGTGATGTCAGCAATCTCACTGATGGCAGCCCTAGACAATTAGAGATAACCCAGCATCACCAATCTTGACTGGTGGCAGGAAGCCACCTCTGGGGCCAATGGAGGTCTGGCAGTTCTGATGTCACCACCAATAAGCCTAGAATGGGGAGATTGGCCTTTAGCCAGACCACAAAAACCACAAAGCCACTGAAAGAGCTAGATGATGACAAAGTAAAAGAGCAAGACTTGTGCTTCTGGGACTGATTGGTTGACAACCTCAGTTTCCTCATCTGTAAACTGGTAATCAAAATACTACCTGCCTCTTATGTAGTTATGGAGGATAAATGAGTTAATGTATATGATGCATTATTAAGTGGTATGTAAATCTTAGCTATTATTATTGTTTGCAGAGGTGTGGAAATGGGGTAGCTGTTTTAGTGGCTATAATAGTAAGATTTTCCATGCATGTTTAGTCACTGCCAATATGGTCTCTTCATATGAAGGTGTTCATAGTTAACCGGTTTTTAGTTTCTATCTTTAATGAAAAAACTACAATGTTTACACTGCCACAATATAAATGAACTTCTATTTCATAAGTTATGTGGGGTTTTTTTCTATTTATTTTTCTCTTTATGACAACAGAGAAGAAGGGTTATGTGGTTTTTATGTACCAATGTGCTTCATATTCTATCAAACTTCTGATAATTGCATTTTCCTCCATTGGAACATTGGATTTATATTAGGACTTGTCATGCTGGGGAAGGTACCTCTTAACATGTTGAGGACGTGGAGTGGTGTTTAGAAGGGACCCAAGCATGCCTGCTCTTTCTCTCTCTCCACCACCACCCTTCTCCCCCGCCCTCCACAACCAAATGCTGTGCTTATGCCGGTAGCCTGTCCTGCTTTGGCTTATTGGGAAAAAAAGACACTTAGAAGGCAGAAACTTTGG